TGAACTGGTATTGGTTGTTTTGAATCAGACAATCATATGGCCTGCTATGCCAGGAATGACAAATTGAAGAGGAATGGCATCACATTCATTGTCAAAAAGAACATTTCAAGATCTGTCCTGAAGTACAGGATGGTAGCCATACACCTACAAGGAAGACCAGTTAATACAAGTATTATTCAAATTTACACACCAAACACTAATGCCAAAGATGAAGAAATTGAAGATTGTTAACAACTTCTGCAGTCTAAAATTGATCAAACATGCAAACAAGATGCATTGATAATTACTGGTGATTGGAACGTGAAGGTTGGAAACAAAGAAGGATTGGTAGTTGGAAAATATGGCCTTGGCGATAGAAATGACGCCAGAGATCACATGATAGAATTTTGCAAGACCAATGACTTCTTCATTGCAAATACCATTTTTCAACAACATAAACAGTGACTATACATGTGGACCTTGTTGGATGGTATACACAGGAATCAAATCGATTATATCTATAGAAAGAGACAGTGGGAAAGCTCAATATCATCAGTCAAAACAAGGCCAGAGGCCGACTGCAGAACAGACCATCAACTGGTCACGTGAAAGTTCAAGCTGAAGCTGAGGACAATTAAAACAAGTTCCTGAGAGCCAAAGAAAGACCTTGAATATATCCCACCTGAATTTAGAGACAACCTTACGAATAGATTTGATGCATTGAACACTAATGACTGAAGACCAGATGCATAAAGGACATCATACATGAAGAAAGCAAAAGGTCATTAAAAATACAGGAAAGAGAAGACCAAAATGGATGTCAGAAGAGACTTTAAAACTTGCTCTTGCATGTAGAGTGGCTAAAGCAAATGGAAGAAATGATCACTTAAAAGAGCTGAACAGAAACATAAAACAAACTCTAACAACACTGAAAAGAGAAATTGACAGTTCCACAATAATAGTAGAAGACTTCAACACACCACTCTCGGTAAAGGACAGAACAACTAAGAAGAAACTCAGCAAAGATACAGAAGACCTAAAGGGCCCAATCAGCCAACTTGACCTCATAGACATGTACAGAACACTCCATCCAACCGCTGGAAAGTACACATTCTTTTCCAATGCACATGGAACGTTGTCCAGAATAGACCACATCTTAGGCCACAGAGCAATCCTCAACAAGATCCAAAACGTTGAGATAATTCAAAGTATCTTCTCTGACCCACAATGCCATCAAGATAGAAATTAACAATAGAAAGTGCAAGGAAAAAAAATCAA